TATATATATAGAAATACACTTATATATATATATATATATATTATATATATATATACTATGTGTCGTGTGTGTGTGTGTGTGTGTTCCTGTGTGTGTGTGTGTTTTGTGTTGTGGGTGTGTTTGTGTGTGTGTGTGTTGGTCTCGTCTGGCTGTTGTGTGTGTGCTGTGTGTGAGTGACGTGAGTGTGGTGTGTGTGTGTTTGTGTGTGTGTTGTGTGTGTGTGTGTGTGTGTGTGTGTGTGTTCGCTGAGTGAGTGTGTGTGTGAGTGAGTGTGTGTGTGTGAGCTGTGCTTCACACCAACCCTGTGTGTGTGTGCTCATGTATGTGTGTTGTGTGTGTGTGTGTGTGTGTGTGGTGTGTGCTCGAGCAAGTTTACGAGTGCGTCGTGCGTGTGCGTGTCGTGTGTGTGGTGTCTGTTATTTTCAAGGAATTTGATGTTGGACTGCATTGCTGGATAAGGCGATGATTGTGCCTTCCATTACTAATATAGTTTGTACGTGTGTTTTTTTTGGGGGGCGGTGCAATTAAACGATCCAACGCGCACAGATATTTTCGTCTGATATAAGGCCATCTAAATAAATTTCGGTCAACAGAATAAAAAAACGACGAGATTATATACACAGATTATACCATTGTAACACGTCACTCCAATTAACAATGTCTACATTTTGTACTAACTTGTAGGACTAACGAATACTAATAGCACTGCCGAAGTTACATCCCAAAGACACTTAATTATTTTATTTAACTGCCTCACGTCGAAATTACGAAACAAATGAATATTCAGGAGGAACGCGGGATTGTGCAAAAAAAAACGACATCCGCGATGCAAAATAATAAACCTTTCGGCGATTACCTAATATTATAAACAAGACAAGAAAACAGAATATACATGTGCTCAAGGGTTCTTCATTGCAAAACCGCTATTATTCGGCGCCAGAACGACGCAAATTCATATTCTTCTTACTAAATTGATTATACTACTTCAGCATTGCGGGCGGTTATAATACTGTTTATCATCATCTAACAGCATACGGACCGTAATCCATTATCGCGCTTATCACTGTTCCCATTCGCCGTATGTAGATCTTTGATTTGTCTTGGACTACAAACGTCTATCGATTACCCAACAGCAGGATACATCAAAAATTCATGTTCCGGGCCTTGTCTTGCAGTCCATAGCAAAACGGCTGAAATTAATCCGATAGTGGCGCAACTATGGTTGTGTGTTACGGGTTGTTCGGTTCATTTTCTGGGGGTGTCACTGCGGACACACCTGTTCCGTGGGGTAAGAAAGATTACAGCAGTTCACACACGTGCGAGCCGATATTCACAGTATTGAGATGGCCTCTCGCATTAGTCATCATACCACACGCCGACCGGTAGAAGTCTAGTTGTAATAGAATTGCCGAAGAGGTGGCCTCGGTCGACAAGTTCTCAGCATCGCTGCTGCTCGTCCAGGCGATATTCAGGCATAGTAGCAGTCGAGCACGATTTAGTAAGTAATGCGAAGTATACATGTGCAGATAGATGTGATACTCTTGCTGTTCGTTCGGGTTTTCGCAGTCAAGTTCCAAGCTATCTGCGATCAATGGTGCAAATACTTGACGCACAGGATCTTTACAGCCGACCGTCTCGTGTTGAGCAGCTAGCATAAGTGATCTACATTGATCAATGAACTCGGAGTGTACCAAGGCCGCTCGTTTCCATCCGTCTGCGAGACTGATCGCACAGACTCTCACACTAACAAATGCACGCCACACAACCAAATAACACGACGGACGTAAGTAAGCCGATACTCGCTAAAGGCATCACACACACAGACGCGCATCGAGGCGCAATGAGAAGAAAACAACCACCGCTATCCCCTTTATGAGACTCTCCACTAGCAAATGTTGTGAGAAATATAAATGCCCCGACTGTCTGTCGAGGACCATTACTGCTGATGCATATTGCTTTGTGTGAACCCACGATCTCTTCTGGGACGAAAATCTCAAGCATGGCTCAGCCAGTTTCGTAGCAGAGGACGTTTGATCGCGTAGTAGGAGAGCGCAAGCAAATCAATCGTTGTCAGCTGCGTTACTTTCCGATGACTTTCTACTCAACGCCTAGCACATTGGCAACCGACTCACAGAAACAGTCAGAGGCTATTATTTGGTGGACGTGTGAATGCACTTGTCCAGAGCCCAACATATCGCGCGGGATGGCCGGGCTCTGCCCGCCCTCGCGCTCTTTGATCGTGCGCCAAGGGCAGACACCGATGACGGCGGTGGTCGTGAGGGGAAGAAATATTAATGAGGTTTTCACTTGGGTGAAAAACAATTAAGGATGATCTTCGGGACGGAGGACTTAGGCTCAGTGAATACTCGAGGGGCGTAGTTGAAAAATTTCGTCGTTGGACTGATAGCGTACAAGTTTCTCATAACTACGTTACGTCACAGACTAATTCACATTTACGATTTCAACGCTGTTTGGCCCGGCGTATAACATACGTCCTCATCTCCTCGTGGGACAATACCGCACACTACATGATAACATGCGGGAGAACCTTATTCATCTGTACCGTGCTGATGAGCAAAAGGGTGCTCTATAAGGTAGTTTGTCGAGAGATAACAAGCTATATCATGGGCGTTCTTTACGCTGTCTCAACACACCAGCGACGATGACTCATGCATAGCGCGCACGGCCCGTACCTGAGGAGCTTGCTGTATACTAAGTAATGTCGACCCGGGGCGAAGAACGGTGCCCCAACTGATAGGTCGTGCTATCTTCGAACCAACATATCGCTAGTTGCGACACGAAAAATAAATAGTTCTCTTCTATGCATATAGTACTTCGTGTGATATTCACAGCCGCGGCTAACCCCGTGATTATTCACGCATCGCACGTCTGCTCATGCTTGATTGCAATGCTCCGTCGCGGTCTCTTCTGCCACACCGGCGTTTTCTCTCCTCCGCCTTCTCCCCGCACCACGGCGGCTCGCGGCGGTGCTACACTATCACCATCTGGCCCGCATCTAGCAACTGCATGCCCGCTGGTGCTTGCCAGGTTTGAAATATACGGGAACGGCCAAACATATTTTTACGTGCACCGTACTTATCAAGTTTTAGTCTCTCCATACAGAAATCGGCGGTAACAGGAAAGAATAGTCACGAGCAGTAGTGAGAGGGAACACTATAACTTGTTGAGGAGGCATGCAGCGGACTGCGCAACACGCGCAGCGAAGTAACTGTGATTGGCGTACGTGTAATTACAACATTCTTACTTCAGCTGGCGACCTCATTAATTGTACTTGCCCATTTGCGTTGAGAAGATTAAACGTATGCGCACTGCGCCAGCCTGAGTCCGGCAAGCCTTGCGCTGCGCGCCGCCGACATACTAGTATGGATTAACCAGCGGAAAACCGTCGGTGCGACCGTCGCTCTGCGGCTGTGTTGTGACCTTCCAGTGGCGGTCATCGTCGATTCACCGCTGGACCAGCAACGGGGCTGCGTTCGTCGCTGATTTACTGACACGCTCTATTCGGCGTGATGTGATGTACAAAGAATACCAGTGCGTGCGAATCCGTTCGTTATTTATTTGCTATATGCTCAGTGGTAGACTTACGGATAGACTAGACCCGATATGATCTCTCAGTGTGTGTGTGTGTGTGTGTGTGTGTGTGTGTGTGTGTGTGTGTGTGCGTGTGTGTGTGTGCGTGTCTGTTATTTCAGACTTGATGTTGGCACTGCATGCTGATAGGCGATGATGTGCCTTCCATTACTAATATAGTTGTACGTGCGTGCAATAAACGATCCAACGGCACAGATATTTCCGTGATATAGGCCATCTAAATAAATTTCGTCAACAGATAAAAAACGACGAGATTATATACACGATTATACATGTAACCACGCACTCCAATTAAAATGTCTACTTTGTACTAACTTTAGACTAAGCGCATACTAATAGCACTGCGAAGTTACATCCCAAAGACACTTAATTATTTCAACTGCTCACGTCGAAATTACGAACAAATGATATCAGGAGGGAAGCGGATTGTGCAAAAAAAACGACATCGCGATGCAAAATAATAGCGTACCTAATATTTACACAAGTACTAAGTAATATATACAGATATATGTGCTCAAGGGTTCTCATTGCAAACCGTCATATTCGGCGCCAGAACGACGCAATTCTATATTCTTCTACTAATGATTTACTACTTCAGCATTGCGCGTATAATACTGTTTATCATCTCTAACAGCATTACGACGTAATCCATTATCCGTTATCACGTTCCCATTCGCGTATGTAGATCTTTGATTTGCTCTTGACTACAACGTCTATCGATTACCCAACAAGCAGGTACATCAAAATTCATGTTCCGGCCTTGTCTGCAGCTCCATAGCAAAACGCTGAATTAATCCGATAGGTGGCGCAACTGGGTAAGAAGAAAATTGCGATGGCTCTCGCGTTTCAGCCTGAGAACAATATATACATGTAGATATCGTTCTCGGGTTTCAGCAAACCAAGATCACTTGCACATATTGAGACAGACGTCGATTGGACTACATATACATTCGGTAACACGCTCGTTTCAATGCTCACTACATTAATGCTACGCACACCAAACACACAGCGATATGTACATCACGATCGAGATGAACTCTTTTATAAGAAATGTTGAAATAAATGCATGAATATTCTTTGTGTGCACGACTTTTAACGAAGCAGTTTAGGGGTAGTAGAGACGCAAGCAAACTTGTCGGCTTATTTTACTAACGCTGAATTGGCAACCGAGCTCAAAAAATCATTGAGCATGCACGTGGGGGAAAATATAATGAGCACACTTGTGAAAAACAACGGAACTGTCATAAATACTGAGGTAGTTAAAAACTTAAAACACACGAAGACACGAAAAATTCCCTGAAAATACAATTATAACATGAGAACCTTATCATTTGGAAAACTCTATACGAATACACATATACGCGTACGTACGTACCAGTATACAAAATGGCGGATAGATATGTAGCGAACATACATAAAAGTTACGTATATATAATAACTATCTCTATCTATATATTGTGATATTCACAGTGTGCGTGTAACTATCACATTAGCAATTTGCTTGTGAAATATAGGCCAAACATATTTTACGTGCACGTAGCATCTATCACATGGCTTAGCGTGAAGTATAATTTGGCATGGCAGCGATAATGTGATTGCTAATATAAATAAAAAATTCTAGCGACCTCATTAATTGTTTGTGTGCTGCGGGTGACTTCACGTATGACACGCTACGCGTGTGTGATGTACACAAGAAATACTATAGTAGGCTATAGCTAACCAACGTAAATGTCCCCAGCAACTATAGTATACAAAATAGCAACCATTTAGGGACTTACTAGTGCGCTAAATAGTGTAAGCAAATCTATACATTACAGTGTTCCTTGGTAATTTTGTTAATTACCAATTTTAACTATGTTAATTACAATGTTAATTTTGTTGGCTAATCGAATCTTGTTTGATTCGTGTAAAGTCGCGTGAATATACTTGAATATTTGTGCATTTCACGAGGATGACCGAAAATTCTAGAGAAATTGTGCATTCAAAACCGAAACTGCATGTGTACATTTCAACTTTGTACATTTCACGAGGCTGACCGAAAAACTCGAGTGAAATTGTGCATTCAGAACTGAAACTGCGCGTTTTTTCGGCATTCGTTCGTGACACTTTGTGCCGTCGTAACGGGAATTTAGGCACCACTTGCTCCTCTAAATGTTGCCTCTACATTTCACGTATTGCTAACATGCATTATTGAAAACAAGCGGCATTGCCAGAACAGTCCACGCAAGCATTTCTCGACGGCGCCTTCCGCTAGCGAACGCAATTTGCTGGCCAGCGCTAAAGCAAATTCCGATGATCGGTGGAAACGTCGTGTGAAGCGTACGAACGCATGTAATCAGCTCCCGCGCAAACAGCGGTATTGTCACACGTTCGCAACGCGACGTTTATCATTGTCACCGCTCTGATAACGACGCTTCCACTGCGTTTGCATATGGATACCGAACACACCTGCCCGCCTAGTATATAACACACCTGGTCGCCAATCATATACTACACCTGCCCGCCAATCATATAACACACCTGCTCGCCTAGTATATACTACACCTGCTCGCCTAGTATATACTACACCTGCTCGCCCACCTCCTCGCGTATCTCGGCGCCGCCATCTTGAAAATCA